ACAAAAAACTAAAGAACTCACCCTTATCGCAGCATCCAGAATTATGGTGGCCATTGAGACATAAATATGTGATCCTGAACTTCCCAGAAAGTTATCACAAGAAACTGTGTCTATGCCCACGATGCTTCTGTGTTGGAGGACAGTCCAGGAAAAGGTGACATCACCTGTCTGTGCACCAGGCCTCAACCTGTGGCTGGCCAAAAACCAACTGCTGCTATTCTATATTTTCAGACCTAACAAAGTACCAAACATACAGAGATATTCTAAAGACCCTTGGTAGAATGAAAGAAAAAATACATTATCTGATTCAGCCTCACAATTACACTCTTCAACAAGCAGAGAAAAAATAGTTTGCCTGGTGATACAGATGACAAAACTAAGACTGAGAAAATTCTATCACTTATATGAGGACCATGGTTTTACATCTAAACTGGCACCATAATCTCTGTATGGAAAAGAATGAAGGTGATACCATATGCTCTGTCTAGCTTTTAATACCTGTGTTAGTTTGCCTTCTCTTACTCTAACAAAATACTGAGATAATAAACTTGAAAAGAGGAAAGGTTTATTTTGGCTCACAGTTTCCAAGGTTTCAGTCCATGGTTGGTTGGGTATGTTGCTTTTCTGCCTGTGGCAAGGAAGTACACTGTGACAGAAGTATGTGGCAGAAGAAGCCCATTCAGCTCATGGCAGAGAAGCAAAAGAGACACTAAGGGGATAGGATCCTAATACCCCCTTCAGAGGTATGCCCACAACAAATGGAAGACCACCTGCAAAGCCCACCTCCTCCAGGTTCCACCACCTCTCAGTAGCAACAAGGTGGGGACTAAACTTCAAACATATGGGCTTTGGGAGACATTCCAGACCCAAACCACGGCATCACACTATTATAATTTCCTTCACTGGTTGAACTTCATGGGTCTAGCAGAAACTTGGAGAAATGAGCAAACAAAAGGGATAAACTCACCAGGGCAATTCAAAGCATAGCACGCCTTCACAAGTATCTATGGTGATGTCCTGCATAATTTAGCTCCTAATTTATAAAGTTTCAAGGTTGTTTATAAAACAACCGTTTGGTTTTTTTTTAATGCTCACAGATTCCACAGACCAGGAATTCATACACCGCAAAGTAGGGACAGGTTGATTCTGCCTCATGGTATCTGGGGCCTCAGCAAGAAGGAAACTTTGAAGTTCGAGGGCTAGAAATCATCTGAAGGCTGGTTCACTTATGTGTCTGGAGGTAGAGGCTGGATAGGGGTGAGGTCCTCAGCTCCTCTGTACACGGGGTGTCTCCATGGAGGCCAATTTGGCCTTTCTCAAACATGCTGGCAAGATTCCAGGCAGAAGCTGCATGCTTTTCATGGCCTAGCTTCAGATGTCACATAGCGCTCCACTGGGCATACTCTATCTCAAACACATAGATCTCCACATACATGTGTGTCCATGCGTATGGGTACAGGAATATGTGAAGTATTAGCTATGGCCTTATAACAAATTACCCCAAAACTTAGTAGCTTAAAACCACACATATTTATTATCACTAGTGGTTTCTCAGAGCCAGGAATCTGTGAGCTGGGTGGCTGTGGCTCAGGTCCTCTTGTGAGGGGGCTTGGATCATCTGAAGGCTGGATGTTAGGGGAGGGCAGGATCTGCCTCATTCACACACATCCTAGAGAGAGGCCTTGGTCCTCATTATGTAAAACTCCCCAAATGCCAGCCTGATACGGCCACTGGCTTTGTCCAGAAGAAATAATCTATGGGAAAAAGTGACCTAATGATAATCCGATTTCATAATTAGTATACATACCATCACTTCTGTCCTGTGCTACTGGTCACACAGATGAACTCTAGGACTGTAGCGGAGGGAAATTACACAAGGCTATGGATGACAGATGGGACCACTGGGGGCTTCTTTGGAAGGTGTAATCAGACACACAGATGTAGTCACACATCTTCCTTTCCTTCTCTCCTTTAAGTCCAAGCCTGCATTCTGTTCTGCCTCCTCCCCTTGCCCAGCCTGTATCCTACAACAGGAGCTCCATAAACCCTCACTGGATGGTTACTGTGTAGGACACGACTAGTGTTCATCCACAGCCAGTTTCCCTCCATTCTTGCATGTAATTCTCTGACCCCTGCAGTAGGATGGGCCTGTGACTGCTTCTGGTCAATTAAAAGTGTGTTGAAGTGATCCATGTCACTGTTGTATGAGGCAGTGAAAGGTGAGATCCTGATTCTGCAGTCTTTTTCCTGCAGGGGCATCCAGGTTCCCCAGGAAATGCCACAGCAGGTGCAGCTGTATGTATGACCATCCTCTGTCAACTTCTGTCCCAGACCTAAGAGGCTGTGTGGAATTGAGACTGTCCCCTCTGGAAGATAAGAAGCAGAAAGCTTCCGAACTTTATGGGAGTGGTTACTGTTACCTGACCTGACCTATCCTGACTACAAATCTATTTTGTCTTTTACTAATCCTACTAAGCCCCCAGTTGCAGAGAGGGAAATTGAGGCTTTAAACAGTTAAGAGACTTGCCCACGGTCACATAACAAGTAAACAGTGGAATTGAGTTTTGAATTTGAGTCTTCTGTCTACTAGTTCAGGGGGTAGTGTGGTATAGTGGTTAATTCCATGGAAGTTTGAGCCAGTAAATGTGACCTGACAGCTGGTGAGCAAATCAGTAAAACTCTCTAAGCCTCAATTATCTCAGCCTGAACAATGGAAATACTATGGCTTAGATACGGTTTGAGTTCATGTGTTGGGAGTATGGTCCTCAGTATGGGGCCCTGCTGGAAGGTCCTGAGCTCAGTAGAGAGTCATGTGCCTGGATGGAATTAAGGTAATTCTCATGGGACACCTGAGTTAGTTCTTACAAGAAGACTGTCATAAAGAGCAAGCCGGATCACACACTAGCTTTCTTTGCTTTCTGGAGACAAGATCTCTTCCACAAATGCTCCTGGCATGGTGGTGCTATCTGCCATGAGATACTAGAGCCAAGTTAACGCTGACACCATGCCCTTGAATCTCCAGAACTGGAAGCTAAATAGACTTTTTTCCTTATAAAGTCACCCAACCTTAAGTATTTCATTACAATAATGAAAAATTAACTCAAACAGGGGACACAATGGTTCCCTTCTGCAAAGGGGTGCTGTGAGAAGTAAATGAAATGAAATAATAAATTATAAGCCCTTGGCATATACTATATATATTATCATTTTTATTTTGCAGCTATATATCATCATCATTATTATTATACCACAGCTAGCAGCTAACACTCCCCTTTCCTAAAATAGAAGCTTTTACAAAGCATTCCTCCAATCAGTTCCAAAGCCCTGAGACTTCTGGCTTCTCTTGGTGAAGGTGCTAAGGGTCTTTTTTCCTTAGAAAACATAACACACTTTCTAGCTTCCTATTATTAGCCTTTCTTAGTAAACATGCTGCTTTCGGTTTCTCCCTAGTGCAGCTGCCCCAGTGACGGGACACAGCATTGCTGATCAAGTCTATAGAAACAAAACAAAGCAGCATCTCTCTGCATCATTCAAGAACTTTCTGCAAGAGAAAACTTTCAAAGAAAACAAAGTTTAGCCTGCCAAGCCACACATGCACCTCTACTAGAGGAAGAAGCTTTCCAAAGCTCCGCTTATGTACTGGAAAATTCAAGATGGGAATGGCCAAATAAACTGTGACCCAGCTACATAATAAAATATTACATCATCACCAAAAAGGATGAGGCAAGGGTGCCAGAATCAGAGTGCTGACCGGAGACGGCACTGAAGATACGGTTCTAAGTGCAGAGGAGCAAAGACCACAACATCATAGCACAGTTCTGATTTTTTTTTTTGTCTTTTTTTTTTGGTACCGGGGACACAGTTCTGATTTTGCAAAAGAAATAAATTTAAATCTGGACACATATACATGCGCCTATATATGTATAGGTAAATGTGTGCATGACTAAACATACGCCTGAATATGGAAACATTCAGACACATGTGCAAACACCTGCAGATGCAAAAACATATGGAAGAAACACTCAAAATTACTAAGTCTAACCATTCCTTGTAGGAGATAAAGGGTAGTAAAGGATTCTATTCTTTTTTTTTTCCCCATTAAGTTTATTGGTACATTTTCGGTATAAAATACAGTTACATTCATCATTGGGATCTTGTACCATTTCATGAGTATCTTGGTTCTTATTTTTTTCCCCTTCCCTTGCCCCCCCTTCACCCCCTCCACCCTTCCCTATTTGCAAAGACCTTGTTTCCATTTTTTTTCCTTTTCTCATATTTTTTTCTTTCCCTTTTTTCCCTTCCCCTACCCCTCCCAATTCCCCTGCTCTTTTAGACCTTTTCTTCCTGTTACACAATATCAGTTATACACTTTTTAAAATTACAATATTAAGATCTAGGAGACATTACCACAGATTTTACAGAATTTAAAAGGATATAGAAAGCATATTACAAAAATCTTTTTTGAAATAAATTTGACAACTTCTAAGAAGTAACTTGGAAGACAAATTAATGAAACTAACTCTGGAGGAAATATAAAATTTGAATAGCACCTATTAAAGAAAGTATATTCCTAGCTTGAAAACCTACCTATATGGCAACAGCAGGCTCATAAAGATTTTAACTGATAAATTATAAAGGATTCTATTCTTTATCATCTATATTATTGAATTTATTTTAATGAATGTATAGTTATTATATGTGTGTGTGTGTGTATGTGTGTATTTTCCCTCTGATCTCCAAAAGAAAACAATGTTGATAACACCAACAAGGATTGAGCTCTGTATAAAGTGATTTAGGGGCATCATGTCATTGAATCCTCACACTATCTTTATGGGGTGGGCATAATTATCTCTACGCACAAGAAAAGAAAGCTCAGAGTCAACTGTCCAAGGTCACATAATTGAGCATGCAGCAAAATATGTGAGAAGGGTGTACAGTCGCTATAATGCAGTCTGTTTCTGCCCTCAGTAAACACTGTGCCATGATCATTGCAAATTCACCTGCTTATCAAACTCAGGCTTCAGAGAGTCTTCGGTGAAGATGTGAAATTGGATCTTCCTGTGGCTGAAGAGCACAGCTGACTTGAGCATGACCAGCGTCTCCTCCACTCGATTGCCACAGGCCACCACAGCCAAGTGGATCCAGAGCTCCGATGGCAGCACAGCGTGGAAATTCCTAGCTTCTCCAGGCCTCCTAGAGAAGAGAAAAGCAAATTAAAGCTAGAACTAAACTTAAAAAAAAAGTCAGTGAATGGTTGGAACATTTCAAAACATGAACAGGCACAATCTGTTATATTTTATAAAGTGATAAGCATTTTGACAATTCTTCCTGCTCACAGAAAAATACCATTTATTCCCATATTTATCCTGGCAAAAGCAGGGTGAGTCACTGTTTGGATTGCTATAGGTGTCTGGGACTTTCTCTGCCAGCTCTTAGCTGTCTAGTGCCTGCTGGCTGCCTGCTGGTCCATGTTTGGAAAAATATTGCTAAACTTCAACAGCTGACACAGGGCTGTGGGGCTCCCACTTGCATGGGCCATGAAAATTAGATTTCAGTGCAACTTAAAGAGGAGGGTGAGTTGTAGCTTTCCCATGTGAAATGAGCAACATGATATTGCCGTCATCTGGATGTTTTTAGGTTGCAGTGGAATGCATGTCCACCGGACCAAAGGAATATCACACAAGTGTGGGAGGTGAACAAAACAAAAAACTGTGCCTCCCACTCTGCATTCTTGGGAGAGTCATGAAGAAACAGGTGTTAATCCTAACTGTCTCGCCAAAGACTGGTGGGGTGGTGGGTATGAAATTCAGCTTCCAGTTTGAAATTCCTATTAATGAGAAACAGGCAGGAGTGGGGGCAGGTTAACCTGCAAGCGATCAAGGTATCAAATACTCAGTCAACAGCTGGGAAGGGAATAAGGTCCAAGAGTCCAGGATCATCATCCAACTATTTCCTAGTAATAAAAGATTAGTTCCAGACAAGGAGATGCAGCCAAGCCTCAAACACACCACTGAGAAACATTTGCAGGCAAGTTGGAAGAAGTTGGCCTGGAAAAGGTGTCTTGAGACAAATGAAACTAATTTACTTGCATGAAAGATCTGGAAACCAGGGGAACTTGGATGTCAAGTGCTACCTGCCTTCCAAAACCTTTGAGTTCAATCCATACACTGCTCCATTATTCTCTGCTCTGGTGGACAACAGCAGTCTTGCTCCAGATTTCTTTCACCAGGAGGAAAGCTGAAGATGTGAATGGAGCACTTTGGAAAGCCTTCCAGTTTGATTACTTCAGATCATGCTTAGTAGAAGCACAGCCTCATGCTCAGCCAAGGCCAGATGCAGCGAGTTATTTGGATTCCACTTTGGAGATCAAGGAAAAGATGGTATCTTTGGGAATTGTCCACTTCTGTTTATCCCCTTCCCACTGCCTGATGTAGCTACTGTCTTCTCTCACTTCAGTCATTGTGACAGCCCCTGGTGGCCCACCGGCTTCTGATCTTATCTTTAATTCCCACCCTATGTGTTCTCTTTATTGGTGCCTGGGGGTGGTGTTCTAAAATGTGAGTTGTGCTATTCCTTTGGTTAAAAACACATGCGGTCTTGGCACTGCCTCCAAAGTCAAGTCCAAACTGCTGCTGATGGCTCCTACTTTTATTTTTTGCAACTCTCCCCAACACCCCACTGCCTGGATCCATGGCCATTCACAATCATGGTCACTGTCACACTTCCTTCCCATTCTGTTTCATTTCTAGTTCATGCTGCTGGTCTAAGACTTGACACATGCATATTCATTCATTTATTTTCACTTTTTATTTGTTTCTCTCTGAAATGCTCTCCCCCCTCTTGCTTGCTAACTACAGCCCAATTATTAATCATATTTTTACTAAAAGCTGATTATGTGCCAGGTACAATGCTGGAAAAGATAGCAGTGAACAAATCAGACAGATACCTCCCCCTGCAGAAGTCACATTTGGCAGAAGATAAAGGAAAGGCAGAACTAAGTAACAACCAAGGGGGTTGGTACCTAAGTAATTCACACAGACAATGTGAACATGGTAGGTGCTATGAAGGAACTGTGTAGCGGGGCCCCAGGAGTGGCTGGTGGGCTGGTGCAGGATGGTACAGTGTACCCCCAAGAAGGCTCCCCCAAGGACAAATCTGCTGGTGACTTGCAGGGGTGAGGGAGTGAGCCGTGAGCCTCTTGTGCAGGACCCCAGGCACAGCAAATGCACTGAATAGCAGCTGAGCCTGCAAGCCATGAGCATGCTCACCTGCAGGACTCACCTGCCCATTCTCTCCCTAGGTTACAAAAGTCCCTTCTATTAAAGCCAACTCTCCTTTAACTGCTATGAAGGGGAGGAAAGGCTATATTAGAAATAATGCTAAAATGATCATCAACTAACAAATTATGGTCAAGACACTAGCCGAAATATGCTACAAAAAGATTCAATGCTTAAGATTTTGCCTGATATTTAGGAACATGAGTGTGATTTGAAGGTACAAACAACTGGGACTGGGGATATCGCTCAGTGATACAGCACTTGTCTAGCATTAAAGAGGCCTTGGGTTTGATCCCTGGTACAGAAAAAACAAAATACAAAGCAAAGGTATTAACAATAAATCCATCACTTGGCTATCTTAAATATGAACATTTTCTCCTGCCCTCAGCCAGAGCTACTCCACCTAGAATAGCTTTACATATTGAGCTTCTGCATGAGTAATAGATTTTAACCTTAGTAATCAGGGAAACACAAATTCAAACAATAAAAAGATTCAGTTTTATTTTCAGACTGGCAAAAGTTACAAAATAAGGTAAAAGTCTGCCTGTAATGTGCATATGGGGGAGGAGACAGCTCAGGTGCCGCTGGTGGCAGTGGAAATTGGACCAAACACTTTGGAAGTATCAGGCAACCGTTAGCAAGCACGACAATGGACAGACATGTGTTCCATTCTTCCAGGTCTACTTCTGCATGGACAACCTGAAAAAGCTCTTGCACTTTTACGTAAGTCCCATGCAAGAACATTCTTTGGAGCCCTGATTATGATAATGAATAACTGGACATAAAGTTTGCTGTCTATGGAATGGAGAATCATGAAGATATTTGATGGGTTTAAAGAGGGGACTACTATATAGCAGTGAAAAGGAATAAACTACAAAGGCACATACCAACATAAGGCCAAATGGGAAAAAAGTAGCTGTAAGAAGAACAGCAATAAGATGATATCATTTAGCTAAAGCTAAATAGAGAATTCTACTGTATTTTATTTGGGATATGTGTAGTAAAAGCCAAAAGCACACATCAAATGCAAAGCAGTAGTTATTTATTTGGATTTAAAACTGTGTTCCTTAAGCTGAGTGCTGGGTACACAGAAGTTAATTTTATTATATTTATATATTTGTGAACCCCAAACTATTGGAGAAATGCTTTTGTTTCCACTGAAAACATTACAGGCTGTGGTTGTGGCTCGGTTGTAGAGTGACTCCCTAGCACGTGTCATGCCCTGGGTTCCATCCCCAGCACAAAAAACAAAACAACAAAAAAATCTTGCATTCTGCAGGAGCTCAGTGAACCACCTCCTCTTTTGTTTGCAGGCTCCAGTGACTCGGGTCTGCATGGTAGAAAAAGCAAGGGCCATGCAATGCAGCCTTTCAGGGTGTCTGGTGACAGGTACTAAAAAAGGAAAAGAAAAGCCTCTCTTAGGGCCAGTTCAAGTGTCAGTGCTTGGGATTTAATAAGAACTTTGCTGGCCCCACTTTGCTCCCTCTCACATTACATTAAAAATCCCAGGTGCCAGGTAATACAAGCATGGGTGTTGTGCAGTCGCATGAATAATAAAGTTTAGGGGTACTGCCATGTTGGGCCTTTCACTGGCTCCTACCAGTGGCACATTCAGCACCTCTCAACTGTCACCCAAGACTGTGAGGATCCAAGGAGTCCCATTCAGAACCTGGGACTTGTTAATCCCCCAAATCCCTGGGTTAGGGCAGGGAATAGATCCTTATTTAACTGCATTCCTATTTATACTTAGAAAAGGGGGCTGGAGTACACAGTTGCTGTCCCGGAGTTCTACAGACCTTGCTAAGGGCGGAGCTGATGACAGTCATGCTGGTCACCACGCTGGTACAGCACAAATGGGAATCAACTCTACCGTGGGAAGCAGAGCTGGAGACAGCAGGTCTCTGGGAGGCTCTAGAGGCTGCTTATTAACACACTTGTGCTTCCCACCCGTTGTGGTGAAGTGGAGTCAGGCACTCATGATTTAGTTGACTTCACCCCCTTTTCTCCCAAACTCTGCCCTGTGCCCTTGGGAACACCCATCCCAGGGCGCCTCCTGCCTAAATAAATCAGGCTGTCTCCTGAGGACACTGCCTCCCATTGGGCCTCTCCTCCCCAGGGGCCTCAGGGGGGCAAATGGGGTGCCTGTCCTCCTTACTTCTCACTGCAACACCCCAACATCCTGCGAGGGAAGTCCTACCACAAAGCTCTTCTGTCTCCTTCCTCTCCTTGTTAATGCAAGTATGGTTCATCAGCTCTCCTCTTCCTCCATGCCATTCACTGAAGGGTTAGCACCCCGTCTCCCCATGCCTGCTGAGCAGAAGCTTCCAGCCTCCCGACCTTGCAGCACTGTGGCCTACACACCCACCACCTTTTTACTCTCTACTGAGACCCTGAAGGCTGTGTTCATATCCTGAACCTTTACACAAATTGTGTCCCCAGCCCAGAAACTTCGCAGCTGCCTCCTCATCCACAAAGGGCCAAGGCAGACAGGCCTCCCCTGCCACTGCACTGGGGTTCCTCACTTTTATTCTGTACCACGGGTCTGGTTAATTCCCCCCACAAATTACTTCAGTTGGTGACTACTTAGTCTCTCACTGTAATTCACATCAAGCACACACTATTATACACAATCTATAGAAGACAACAGAAACAAACACAATTTCTCTCTTTAGAAATAAGATTGGAATAAAATATACAAAGTACATTTCAAATTGAAAAGCATAAAACATTAAGACTGAAATATTAAAGTTGGTAAATGACAAATTCTTGCCCCATAAAACTTTGGTTTTTGCATTTTATGTTCTCTTAATTCAGTTAACACAGCTGTGAAAACTACATGTAGTTTGAAATTCTACTGTGATTCTTTCACTCTTGTTACTTTTTAAGTCTTCATAACCATTATTTTCATTGGCTAGC